GGCGTGGTTTGGTGCAGTTAGTGGGTGTGTCAAAGGCGTTTCTTGTCTGTGGTTGAAGGGTGTTGCTCGATATGGAAGTTTCATGAGTTTTGTCTTTGCTGAGTTGCTAAGGACTACTACAGGTGTATAACAGGAAGAAGAGGTGCCCTTATCTCTCCTTTAGGCGCGTAAATCCCCTCTCAAATGAGGTGGTCAGGACTACACAGCGGTATTATACTAAGGATCCTCAAAAGAAACAGAAATGTGACGAGAAAAGCTCACCCGACCCTTCTTTCTCACCTCTCTCGACCTCTGAGCACCTCTTCCACTCTCTATGCTACCAAGGGACCGGATTTTGATGACACCAGCCTCTCTTATGGCGGTAAATCCATGAGACAGCTCCTCAGAGCATTCCTCGTCTATCAACTCTTCTCCTTCAACAGCATTGTGGACTCAAGCGAGAGGGTACGTTGCATTTATGAATAAAGTCCTCCCTGCTGCTGAGAATGCAACATTATCCACATGTACAGCACATGTAAACTGTATCTAGTCAATACATGTACAATTGTATTTAAATTGTTATTTTAATGGATTTTGTCTTATCCACATGTATACATAAAGCTTGCTGCTTTGTACTAATAAGTAATTATGATAAAGGCTGGCATTATTAGCACATACATGTACATGTATATTACTTTTTAATTTACATTGCAGCTGTTGAAAGTCGCTAAAAAGATACTTGGGCAGTCTTTATTCAGGAAACTCATGAAGTGGACGATATATGGGCAGTTTGTCGCCGGAGAGGATTTGAAAACACTCCAGCCGGCAATGAAGCACCTACAGAGCCGAGGGGTTCGATCAATACTTGACTACGCCGTGGAGGACGATGTACAGAACAGCGAAGTGTACATGGAAGTCAGGTAGTAGCAGTACATGTAATACAAGTAATTCTATATACATTACATTACATAATAGATACTATAGTCATACTACTATAGTCTATAGTATTGGCGTATTTGGTTGTAGGTAGTGATTGTATTGTCGTATGATGAGTCTATAGTATTTGAATAAAAGGACATTCATTATTTTCTTGTACTTCTACTACGTGTTCTTTGTTGTTTTTTTGTAGACATAAAGCTAAGCCTCCTTCAGACATCCTTCACGTAACAACTGGTAATGAATAATAATAATAATAATAATGAATTGTTATTTATGA